TTTTTTTTTGCCCCAGCTTGTGTGCTGTGGTATAATCTCAGCTCACTGCAACCTCTGCTCCCAGGCTCAAGTGATCCTCCCACCTCAGCCTCCTGAGCAGCTAGGACTATAGGCACCCACCACTGCACCTGGCTAATTTTTGCATTTTTAGTAGCGATGGGGTTTTGCCATGCTGCATAGGCTGGTCTTGGAACTCCTGGGCTCAAGCGATCCCCCCACCTCAGCCTCCCAAAGTGCTGGGATTATAGGCGTGAGCCATGGCAACCAGCCAATGCTCTTATGTTAATATAACATTGGGATATTTAATAGTTTATCCATAAGGTAAAAAGAAAATTTGGGAAATATATGAAAATACATCAATAAAGACTGTTCTGGAGCCAGTGGTTCTTACTGTGGTTGAACCATAGTCCTCATGAAAATCTGGTGACAACCATAGACTGTCTTCCTAGAAGAAAAATGCCATAAGCACAGATACACAAAATACTGCCTACAGTTTCAGAAAGCATATTGTACTTTGACCCTTTGAAACCTTTTCACAAACTCTTAGATGAGAATTTTTGTTTGTTTGTTTGAGACAGAGTGTCTCTCTGTCACCAAGTCTGGAGTGCAGTGCCATGATCTCGGCTCTCTCCAACTTCCACCTCCCGGGTTCAAGTGATTCTCCTGTCTCAGCCTCCCAAATAGATGGGATTACCCACCACACATGGCTAATTTTTGTATTTTTGGTAGAGATGGGGTTTCACTATGTTGGCCAGGCTGGTCTTGAACTCCTGATCTCAGGTTATCCATCTGCCTTGGGCTCCCAAACTGCTGGGATTACAGGTGTGAGCCACTACGCCTAGTCAAGAATTTTTTTTTTTTTTTTTTTTGAGATAGGGTTTCACTCTGTTGCCTAGGCTGGAGTGCAGTGGTACACTCATGGCTCACTGAAACCTTGAACTCCTGGGCTCAAGTGATACTCCCATTTCAGACTCCTAGTAGGTGGGACTGTAAGTGTGAGCTGCTATACCTGGTTAATTTTTTTTTTGTAATTTTTGTAGAGGCAGGGGCAGGGTCTCACTATTACTCAGGCTGGTCTTGAACTCCTGCCCTTAAGTAATCACCCCTCCTTGGCCTCCCAAAGTGCTGAGATTACAGGCATGAGCCACAATGCTTGGCCCAAAAGATTTTTTTGTGTAAAACTTCCCATAGATATTGAATCTGCAACTTCTGCTACATTAAGGGATGACACCATAGAGCGAAATAACCACCTTAAAACAAAGAAAGAGACAGAGAAGCAGGCAAGAAAAAAGTTAAAGAGCCAGAAAGAGAGAAAGAGGAAAGAAAAGGAAGAAGCAGAGAAAGAATGAGGAGGAAAGAAGATAACCATAAAATATGGACTAAAGAAGAATTAGAGAGAAATCACAGTTTTGATGTTTCTGAATTTTAAATTTGTGGCCTTTTAAATCTATTTAATGCGGCCAGGTGAGGTGGCTAACACCTGTAATATCCCAGCACCTTGGGATGCCAAGGCGAGCAGATCACCTGAAGTCAGGAGTTCAAGACCAGCCTGGCCAACATGGTGAAACCCCATCTCTACTAAAACTACAAAAATTAGTTGGTCATGGTGGCAGGCACTTATAATCCCAGCTACTTGAGAGGCTGAGGCTGGAAGAATTGCTTGAACCTGGGAGGCGGAGGTTGCAGTGAGCCGAGATGGTGCCACTGCACTCCAGCCTAGGACAGTGAAAGAGCCCGTCTCAAAAAAAAAAAAAAATCTACTTCATGCATCTTTCCCTATTTCAATGATTCATAGTCATTTAAGTTACAGCAGCTTAAGAGGGTTGCTTGAAAATAATCATGTACTAAGGAAAGTGCATGCTTTCTCCAGAGAGCTCGTGTATGAAAAGTTCCTTTCCTGTGGAAAAAAAAGGAAATTAACTGTCCTAGATCTCTAATAATAGCAGTACATTTATGAAGTGATTTAGCAGCATAATAATTAAATGAATCAGCAAACATGAAGGCTAACTTATATTCCTTCTTAAAATTAAAAACTTCCTTAATGTATTTTAAACATGATTAAATTAAAATCAGCACCTTATAAAAATAAAATTAAGGCCAAGTACAGTGACTCATGCCCATAATCCCAGCACTTTAAGAGGCCAAGGCAGGAGGACAACTTGAGGCCAGGAGTTCGAGGCCAGCCTGAGTAACATAATGGGACCCCTGTCTCTACAAAATAAAAATAAAAGATAAGACACTTAAAATCCTTTGAGGTTATGCTTTCCCTGAAGTGTAATTATGGCAATTTGAGAAACCACCAGAGAATTGTTTATATTTACAAGTTTTAGTTTCTTCTACCAGAAATGTTAATTCAAAGCTTCTGGATGGTGTTTTTGAAATTCCTTAATTAATTTTTTTTTCGTTTTAGAGAGATGCTGGGGTTACTATTAATCTCAAGAGCCAAGTGGTGCAGATACTGAATTGTCCTTCTCTTTTGCTTTTCAAACTCCTTGTACATCAAGGGTTGGCAAAATGTAAAGCCTGAAAAATAAAAAAGAAAAAAAAGTACCACTAGAAAAGCAAGTTAAAAAACCAACTGAACTATACTTATCCAAATTGGTCTTCTGGTATGTTACCTATGCCTAGACTTTCTTTGTTCCATGGTTTCTTTCAAAGGTGTTTTTACTTTAGTAAAACATATATGATGTTACTTTACATACATGATTTGATCTCTAAAGTAACTAGAAGCATGAGAAGCAAGAAACTAGTATCCCAGTTTCAAGAGAAATACATACAGAATTTAAGTGAGATGGCCAATCAGTTAGAGGCATGTTCAAAACATGAACAAAGAATGCTGGAATTCTACAGCATTGCTTTTTCACACTGCTCTGTCAGCTGTCTTAGCATGTATAGTCAACCTATGCTGATCTACAGAGGAAGACATTTTAGCCTTCACACTCACCGAAGCAATTCTCAAAGTTTGAAATCCTGAAGGCCATTAGTACCAGGGAGTTTTGTTTGTTTGTTTGTTTGTTTTTTGCATATCTTCACTATAATAACCTTCTAAACACACCTATAGAAATATCCTGGAATTACACTGCCTCCAAAAACTTAAGCTTCTATACTCAGCTCCCATTCAGAACCTACATCTTTCAAATAATAATAATATCTTACCATGAATGTTTACCATATGTCAACCTTTTGGTATTTTTTCTCATTAAATCTCCAGTATCCTAAGCTGTAGATATATAGCTATTATTTTCAGCCATACCTTACACATAAAGAAATAAAAGCTTGTTCATATGGCTAGAAAGTAGCTGAGCTAGGATCTGAACCCAAGGTTGTCCATTCCTGGGGCTTGGTGTTTTCACCACTATTCTATGCTGCCTTTGGTTCTCTGTCAACTTTCTTTAATCTCAGAACATGAAACATTAATGTGCCACTTTTAGCATTCTTCTAGCATTTCTTCTTTCTCATCCTGAGTCCAACACATATCTGAACACTTGAATCACTGCTTCATCAATATGTGTCCTTAATTCTCTTGCACACCTATCCTTCTGCAACACACGATGAAGCAAAATCCCAGCTCTTAATCAATGTTCTCATCTACTGTGTCCACTCCAACATTCAAGGAAATATAGTAATTCACCCTTATTCCCAGGGGCTACATTCCAACACCGCCAGTGGGTGCCTCCAACTGCAGGTGGCAGCAAGCCCTATATGTACTATGTTTTTCCCTATATATACATACCTATATTAAAGTTTATTAATTAGGCATCATAAGAGATTAACAGCAACAACCAATAATAAAATAGAGCAATTATAACAATATATTATAATAAAATTATGTGAGTGTGGACTCTCTTTCTTAAAATGTCTTATTGTGCTGTGCTCACTTATTTTCTAACTGTGGAAAGTGAAACCACAGATAAAATGAGGATACTGTAAGTGCTAAAAAAAAAAATACTGTCCAATTGGTACCACTAAAATTTAGAATCTCCTGCTTTATGTGGTGCTCAGAATTACTCATCCATCCCTGTACTTGAACTTTCTCAACTCCCCCAGTCATCACCTAACCATCTATTTCAAACTATTCCCTTCTTCTCATGTCATCCATTCAGAGCTCCCCCTGGAAACCCTCAGACAATATGGTCTCCTCCTACTTTACCAAGGAAAATGGATTTATTACTTAATAGTATCCCTCAACTTCCTACCTAAATGTTGGCTACATGTTTATTTACATATATAAATGTGTGCTACACATTTATTTACATCCATATACACTCACCTTTACGCTAAAATCCCTCCTCCTATTCCAGGAAAACCCTTGATTCTATGCCCTCAAACTAATGACCTCCTGCCTCCTCCAGGGCCTGCCTCCACCAGCATCTCTTTTTTTCAATATCCCCTTTCTTATGATGCCTTCCTCTCAGCGGATCAGTATTTTAAAATCTCTCCCTTGACCTCACACTGCCCTGGTTACTGTCCATTTCCTCTCTTCCCCTTCTCATCATACATCCACTCTTCATTTCTCTACCCATTCCTTCCTTCTCATCCCACTGCAACCTGGATTTTGCCTCTCAGGTGATTAAGACAGCTCTAATTGGCTCCATGTATTCAGCGGCTATTCTGATCTTCTGACACAAGGAAACATACATCCTAAAATGTTATATTTCTTTGGCTTCATGGGCATGACTTTTTCCCATTCCCCTCCTAACATTTTTTTCTGTCTCATTTATAGTTTCCTCTTTTCTCACCCCTTGATTACTTGTGTCACTTAAAGTTTTATCCTTGGATCTTTTACTTAGCACACTGTAAATGATCTCAATTTCCACCCACGGGCAGAGGTCTCTCTCTCTCTCTCTCTCTCTCTCTCTCTCTCTCTCTCTCTCTCTCCCTCTTCCCCTGCCCCCCGTGTGTGTGTGTGTGTGTGTGTGTGTGTGTGTGTGTGTGTGTGTGTGTATATATATATATCTCACATATGAAATAACATAGGCTGGGCGCAGTGGCTCATACCTGTAATCCCAGCACTTTGGGAGGCCAAGGCAGGCAGATCATGAGGTCAAGAGATCAAGACCATCCTGGCTGACGTGTGATGATCTCGGATCACCACAACCTCCACCTTCCGGGTTCAAGCAATTCTCCTGCCTCAGCATCCCAAGTAGCTGGGACTGTAGGCTTGCGCCACCATGCCTGGCTAATTTTTGTATTTTTAGTAGAGATGGGATTTACTATGTTGGCCAGGCTGATCTCAAACTCCTGATATCGTGATCTGCCTGCCTGGGGCTCCCAAAGTGCTAGAATTACAGGCATGAGCCACTGTGCCTGGCCCCATGCTTATTTTAAATCAAAAGCCCCAGACTCCATCATCACCCTAAATATGTTCTTCTCCTCTATTTTTCTATTTGAATTGGGGGTAGTCACCCTGCCTGGAAACTTGAGATTCATATTTGGGTCACTTTTTCTTTCTTTTTGTTTTTCTTGAAGACAGGGTCTTGTTCTGTCCTCTAGGCTGGAGTGCAGTGACGAGCTCTCGGCTCACTGCAACCTCCACCTTCCAGGATCAAGTGATTCTCCTGCTTCAGCCTCCTGAGTAGCTGGGATTACAAGCACCCCCCACCACGCCATGCTAATTTTTGTATTTTTAGTAGAGACGGGGTTTCAGCATATTGGCCAGGCTGGTTTCAAACTCCTGACCTCTATTGATCCCCCCCGACCTCAGCCTCCCAAAGTGCTGGGATTATAGGCATGAGCCACCCGGTCTGGCCAAGTCACTTTTCTTCCTAACCAACAAGTGAAATCAACTGTTGCCAATTTTACCTCCTAAATATTTCTCAAACTATTCCTTCCTCTTCATCCCTCACGCCTCTGCCATAGTGCAAGCCTACATAATTTCTCACCTGTATTGTCATAGTAGTCTCCTAATCATGATTTCTTCCAGTCCCCCGTGTCAATCCATTCTCTACACTGCTGCCAGCATGCTTTATCTAAAATACACATCTGGTCATATCAGTTTCTTAAAAATAATTTTAATGCCTTTCCAACTGCCTAGAGACTTCCTTGGTAGCTAAATGTGGCCCTTCATGAGATGATACCAATCAATCTTTCTAGTTTCAATTTCTACTACCTCCCTGGCTGCAGTTATTTATTTACTTTAATTTTTAATTTTTTTTTTTTTTTTTTTTTTTTTTTTTTTTGTTTTCTGAGAGAATCTCACTCTGTTATCCAGGCTGGAGTGCAGTGGCACATTCAAGGCTTGCTGCAGCCTCGACCTATGGGGTTCAAGCGATCCTCCCACATCTGCCTCTCAAGCAGCTAGTGTGACAGACATATGCCACCATGCCTGGCTATTTTTTTTATTGTCATTTTTGTTTAATTTTGTTTTGTCTCTTGCCTGACTGCTGTTTCTAGTGCTTACCTATTTTTGCTCACACTGTTCTAATTCCTTAAGCTACTATTCTTTAAGACTCCTATTAGGCATTATCTCTTCTAAAGCTTTGATTCCCTCAGACTAGGTGGTCTGGTAATCCTCCTCCAAGCTTCCATCATCTCCTCTGGCTGGAATATCTCCCTTTCAGATTTTTATGATTCATTGATACGGCTCTCTCTCATTCATCAACTGTTTGACTGAATTTAGTCAACAAATGTTTATTGAACATCTACTATGTGCTAGTCATTCTGAATGTTAGAATGTGATCTTATAGCAAATATGGGCATTCTCTTACACATCTTTGCATTTTGTGGTGCTTATACAAGTTCTGGCACAACTGTAAATATATATTCAAAAATGTTAAGTGAATAACTGAATGAATAGATGGACAGAAAATCCTGGCTGTCAGAAGCATTTTAAATCAATATTCATGAATTTCAAGTAATCAGGCAAGGCACAGTGGCTCATGCCTGTTATCCTAGCATTTTGGGAGGCTGAGGCGGGAGTATCACTTGAGGTCAGGAGATCAAGACCAGCCTGGTCAACCTGGGGAAACCCTGTCTTTCCCTAAAAATACAAAAATTAGCGGGGCATAGTGGCACTTGCCTGTATTCCCGGCTACTTGGGAGGCTGAGGCAGGAGAATCACTTGAGCCCAGGAGGTGGAGGTTGCAGTGAGCTGAGATCACACCACTGCACTTCAGCCTGGGCAACAGAGTGAGACTCTCTCTTAAAAAAAAAAAAAAGAAAACAAAAGAAAATGAATTTCAAATAACCTATGGGAAAAAAAGCA